CAATGGCAAGCAACCAGAGGCAAGCATCTCCCAAATACGGTGTCGGAGTCTCGTTTGGGGGCGAATCCTTCACAGCGTGTGCACCATCTGCGCTGCCGCTTGGACAGTGTCTTAGATGTCCAAAATCGATTTCCAGGTGCGAGCCCCAAGTGCACAGATCAGTACGGACGCTGCCTTCAAGGCACCGTCCACCCAGATTCCCGACTTCCATATTTGGTCGTTTCGGCGCCGTGGGTGTGTGGGTTACAAAATACATTTTTGCGATTTCTGTGATATCGGACCAGTGCGTCCAGTGCAAAGTTAATATTACGACCAATCGCTGGATGTAGTCTTGAATGCTGAACAAAGAGATAACTTGTTAGGAAAAAACTCTAGGGTACACTTGCGACTGAAACGGTGTTATTTCGCAGATTTCAGCACTACACCAATCGCAAGTGTTGCTACAGTTCGAATCCCATAATCAAGGCAATCCTCTCCTCGACATTCTCGAAGGCAAAAGCTTGCATGACTCAGTAAGAGAATTGTATTGCAGAAGTCTTGAAACGCGCTTCAAAGCTCCACCAGCCGCGCCCACTTCCACTGAGTGTGCGCCATTGATGAAATTTTGCAGGCATTTTCAGGACTCCGCGCATAGAATGGAGTGGTGGTGGGGCTATGGTGTACGTGGAGGGTCTATCACCTAACGTTGCCAAAATCTGACTGGGGTCCGTTTAGCCTATCCACTGCATTGGAATTATCCCATCTACCTGGGCTTACCCGTCCCCCATTCCAACTGTACAGCTCAAAGCGCGCAAAAAATGTCAAAAATGGGCTTTTCTAAAAGACCCCATATTTGGAATACGACGTGAGAACGCAAGCCCGCAAAAGTTAACAGAGTCGTTGTGGGTCCTACAGTCATGACTGTGTGCGCTAAGGTAGGCGCCAGACTTACTCGTTTCAATCGGTTCGTGCGGTTCACTCATTCGCTATTGGTCGAATCCTGAAGTGACCAATAGCGAAGGGGTGAAGTTGTACATGCGGTATGAACCGGAAGTCTGGCGCCTATCTAAGCGCGCTTTGTCCCATTTCGAATCACTGCGCGGCCGGCATCCAATCACTTTCGAGGCACCTTCAAAGTCCTCGCTTAAGAAGGGGGTGTACTATAACATCGTTATAAAAGCTGGCACTCCTTACTTTGACGGGATACAGCCCTCATGGCATTCGCACACTTATACTACCATGAAACGGTTTGAGTGACTGCGGGGGGAATTGCCCCAGCTACATCATTTCAAGTAGAAAGCTCACTTGTGATTCCAGAGGGATGGAAGAAACTTCATCGGGAGCACCCGCATGCGAAACCGTAAGTTTGTCTGCGTCCCTGGCAACAGCTGGCTGCGGGGCTTCCATGCTCGATGTGACCTGCTCTTCTGCTGCTGGGACCTGAAAGCGAGAACATTCTTTAGACTCATCCTCTCAGTCTATGTTAAGCCCATTTTATTTATACCTCAATACTGCTAATCGGAACAGCTGTGGTAATCTTTGGTCCCTGTGCAGAAACATTAGGAGCCTCGATGCTGCTGATAGGAACTTCGGGGACAATAGCTTCCTCAGCGGTTACATTGATAACCTCAGCGTTCCTGGTATCCTTGATAACTTGTTCGAGCTGTTCAATGGGAAGACTAGGTGTCTCTGCGCTGATAGTGGGAGATATCGTGACAGTCTTTCCTTCCTCGGAAACGCTAGAGGGAAGATGGATGCTGCTAGCGACATCTGCAGCAGGTTGCCTACTCTCAACGGACGCAGTAGGAGTAGGTGTGGTCGTCTCTGTAGGAGATGGCATTGGAGGCGTTTGTGCTGCAGATGGTGGTGTGGGTGGTTCAACAATTTGTGATGGAGTTGGTGAAGGCGTCGGCGTTTCTGTTAGCTTCTCACTCTTTTCTCCATGGCTTTCTGGTGCAGACGGTGACGAGGACACTTCTGCTGTCTGTGTCTGTGGTGATGTGGGGGCTGGAGTCGGCGCCGCCTTCTCATTATTCGTTACATGACTAGCAATGATGTCGAATGGAACAGGTGGGACTAAACAAGCGAGGATAACGAAGAGCAAAAGCAAGAATGGCGAAAGTTCGAGCAAAACACCCAACATACTTTGTGGGAAATCAACGACTTTCGGAAGAACATGGTCAGGCTGCTGCGGACTTTCTGGCTGCAGTGGTATATCCCTATTCTCCAAAATGGGATCTTGTACAACTGCATCAGTCGTAGTGGGTACCTTGGTTTGTGCTTGTGATCCGCTCAAGACAACAGCTTCCTGCGCTGCTGGGCTGTCTTCCTGTAAACAGGCTGAAAGTAGCGGGAACGTGGAACGTGAAGGTGTAAAACCCATGAGTGCCGGATTACACCTATGCTTTGATGCGCTACCCATCTTTCTCTCTGAACAACCACATACAAGAATGCTACTTACACAAATATGATCTCGTCAGTTTTCTACCATCTACTCACTCAACAACTTATTGTTCACAATTGATGTGGGCTCGAAAACAGATCTTACAATTAGACGACGGAGGTAAATGGAGTCTTGTTTTTTTCGCCAACAATGATACGGTTTTTCAATGCACTGACACGAAAACTACGCTCAATTTCCGCTGTAAACCGTTTTTGTAGGCTTACAAGAACATGCTAAGTGTTCCCACTCCAAGCCCACAGCTGCGACGTTTTTCGTACTTACCAGGGGAGGACCCCTAATCGAAATCGCCTTTTCAAATGAGGTATGTACCAATATGAA